GGCCCGTACCATGCCAGCACCGGCCACGGGCTTTGCCCGACCTTGCCACACGCTCGCCCGGACCATGACAACACACTGGCCGCGCCCGTCGCCCGGGCTTGCCAACAATGGCGACGACCTTCCCAACACAGGCCACGGGCTTGCCCGGACCTCAACTCTCTCCCGGACCTTTGCCAGCGCTAGCCCGGGTTTGGCCCGAGCTCTCCGCGGACCTTCCAACCCTTGCCCGTACCTTGCCAACACCGGCCACGGGCTTTGTGCCCGGACCTGGCCAACGCTTGCCCGGGGTTTATCCCCTAGCTTCCCAGACCCTTCGACCCCATGCCAACACTGGCCACGGGCTTTGCCCGGACCTTCCACTCTTTCTTCCCGGGACCTTGCCAACACGGGCCGCGGGCATTGCCGGGGCTTTTGCCAACATTACGACGACCTTCCCAACACAGGCCGCGGGCGTTGCCCCGGACCTTGCCAACGCTTGCCCGAGGCGAGCCCGAGCTCCCCCGGACCTTGCCACATGCTCGCCCGGACCATGCCACGCGCTTGCCCGGACCATGCCAACATTTGCCACACGCTTGCCCGGGGTTTTGCCCAAGCTTTGCCCGGACCTCCATTATATATTTAAACGCGCATCGCGCAACGCGCTAAAGCGCTTAAGCGCTGAGCGCTGACGCGGCGCGCGTGGTTCTTGAGGGTCCACAAAAAAGTAGGGTGGGACCCCCCGGGGCTGGGTGCCCCCCCCCTAAAGAGCAATATGGGCTTTTTCCACTCTGGCACGAACAGACATACTTTTTCGCTCAAACGACAACGCCCCTTTTGAGGGACCTAGAGACCTCCGATTCGCGCGATTTTTTTGCAGGCTTCTTAGGCATGATATGAGGATGAAAACTGCAAGTTTTTCATAATTTTTGGACACCCACAGAATTTTCTAGGATTTTTTCGATTGCTCCGAAGAGTGCGGCCTCCACGGGCCGCCACGGGCGGCGGCTCCGGCAGCCGGACCCCCAAACATGTCAAGGGGGAATGAGTTGAGTTAATAAAACCAAGAAATCACAATGTAACGAGTAGATTTCATTTTGTACGGGTAGGACTCTTTTTGGCACCGCCAGGACTTGCCCGTGGCAGGTCTGGACGTGCCAGGACGGCCCAGGACGTGCCCTGGACTTGCCCGTGGCAGGTCTGGACGTGCCCGGACTTGCCCTGGACGTGCCAGGACTTGGCCGTGGCAGGTCCCGGGACGTGCCAGGACTTGCCCTGGACGTGCCCGGACTTGCCCTGGACGTGCCAGGACTTGCCCGTGGCAGTCTGGACGTGCCCGGACTTGCCCTGACGTGCCAGGACTTCCCGGACTTGCCCTGGACGTGCCCGGACTTGCCCTGGCACGTGCCCGGACTTGCCCTGGACGTGCCAGGACGTTCCGGACTTGCCCTGGACGTGCCCGGACTTGCCCGTGGCAGGTCCGACGCCACCAGGACTTGCCCGGACTTGCCCTGGACGGCCGGGACTTGCCCGTGGGCAGGCCCGGGACTTGCCCGGGGCAGGGCGGGACGTGCCAGGACTTGCCATGGACGTGCCAGGGCCCTGTCGGGACGTGCCGGACCTTGCGCCTCTTGCCAGGACTTGCCCCGGGCCTGTCCCGACTTCGCCGTGGCAAGGTCCGGACCCTGGCAAGCACCTGCTACGTCCTTTGCCCGAGCTTGCCAACCCTTTTGCCCCCGACCGTGCCGAGCTTTGCCGACTGTTGCCACAAACGCTGCATCACTTGCCACGGGCGTTGCCCGAGGTTTGCCAACACTTGCCCCGGACCGTGCAGAGCTCTCACCAACGCTTGGCCCGGGCCTTTGACCGAGGTTGCCAACACTTGCGCCGTCCCCGCCGGAGCTTTTGCCAAGGCCTTGCCACAACGCTCCGTCGCATGCCACGGGCTTTCGCCCGAGGTTGCCCACGACTTCGTCCATCTCCACCGGGGCTTAGCCCGCCGCGTGCCGCGGGGGTGCCCTAAACCTTCGGCCCTTTTCCGGACGCGGAAGGTGGGGACGAATCGAAGCGACTTGGGATGAATCTCAGTGGATCGTGGCAGCAAGGCCACTCTGCCACTTAAAATACCCAGTCGCGTATTTAAGGGTCGTCTGCAAAGGATTCTGCCCGCCGCCTCGATGGGAATTTCTTCAAGGCGTCCCCTGCGACTCATCCGCCGCAAGGGTGTGCCGCCAACGACACGTGCCTTTGGGGGCCGGGGCCCCTACTGCTGGTCGGCAAACGGACGGCGAGCGCCGACGCGGCGCTTCCTAGCAGCCCCGATTCTGACTTAGAGGCCGTGCAGTCATAATCCAACGCACGGTAGCTTCGCGCCACTCCGGGACTTGGCTTTTCAACCAAGCGCGATGACCAATTGTGCGAATCAACGGTTCCTCTCGTACTAGGTTGGACTATTGCGACGCTGTCATCAGTAGGGTAAAACTAACCTGTCTCACGACGGTCTAAACCCAGCTCACGTTCCCTATTGGTGGGTGAACAATCCAAACTGGTGAATTCTGCTTCACAATGATAGGAAGAGCCGACATCGAAGATCAAAAAGCAACGTCGCTATGACGCTTGGCTGCCACAAGCCGTTTCCCTGGGTAACTTTTCTGACACCTCTAGCTTCAAATTCCCGAGGACTAAAGGATCGATAGGCCACGCTTTCACACGGTTCGTATTCGTACTGGAAATCAGATCAAACGAGCTTTTAACCCTTTTGTTCCACACGAGCTTTGCCCGGACCTTGCCAGCGCTAGCCCGGGCTTTGGCCCGAGCTCTCCCGGACCTTACAACCCTTGCCCGTACCTTGCCAACACCGGCCACGGGCTTTGCCCGGACCTTGCCGACGCTTGCCCGGGGTTATCCCCTAGCTTTCCCAGACCTTCCACCCCATGCCCGTACCATGCCAACACCGGCCACGGGCTTTGCCCGGACCTTGCCACACGCTCGCCCGGACCATGACAACACTGGCCGCGGCCGTCGCCCGGGGCTTGCCAACATTGCGACGACCTTCCCCAACACAGGCCACGGGCTTTGCCCGGACCTTCCAACTCTCTCCCGGACCTTTGCCAGCGCTAGCCCGGGGTTTGGCCCGAGCTCTCCCGGACCTTCCAACCCTTGCCCGTACCTTGCCAACACCGGCCACGGGCTTTGCCCGGACCTTGCCAAACGCTTGCCCGGGGTTATCCCCTAGCTTTCCCAGACCTTCGACCCCATGCCAACACTGGCCACGGGCTTTGCCCGGACCTTCCAACTCTTTCCCGGACCTTGCCAACACTGGCCGCGGGCATTGCCCGGGGCTTGCCAACAGTTACGACG